CTTGGCAGAAGTACAGCCAGAATCTTCCTTAGAAGTCAGGATGGCCAGACATCGTCTCTCGTACCTTGGACTTGTTGTTGTTGTTATGTGCCCTTGAATCAGTTCTGACTCATAGTGACCCTGTATAGTGTTTCCAAGGAGCAGCCGGTGAGTTTGAACCACTGACCTTGTAGTTCAAACCAACCTAGGTGTTGAGTGTTTATCCTACAGTTCATGTTGTTGGGAGAGACCAATCCGTCGGGGAGGACATCATGCTTGGTAAAGTGGAGGGTCAGTGAAAAAGAGGGAGACCCCCCCCAACGAGATGGACTGGCAGAGTGGCAGCAACAACGGGTTCAAACCTAAAAAGTGTGAGGTTGGCACAGGACTGGGCACTGTTTCATTCTGTTGTGCATGGGGCTGCTCTGAGTTGGAACCAACTTGATGGGCATCTGACTATAATTAAAAATTATTTGGTGTTAAGACTTCGAGGAATATTTTTTGGTTTAAGGTTTGAAGATGCTCTCAGGGCAATAGTTTCAGAGGTTCACCCAGCCTCCATGACTAGGAAGTCTGGATTTCAAGAGCATGAGAAGTTCTGGTCTGCCTCGCCCCGGAGAGAGGGTGTCTGAGGACATCCATCCAAGGAATCCTCTTTGAGGTAACAGAGAAACACGGAGAAGACCGGCCAGTGATGCAAGGGGCTCTGATTCTGGTCAGCAATAATTAAGTTAGATGAGGGAGAGAAGAGGGGGCTGGCTTTGATTAGAGCCCAGGACAAGAGCAGGTTCTGTAACAGGTTTAGGCTATTGTGCAAACTGGTCTACTGCTTGATTCAGTTGACCTAATGATGTTTGAAGTGTCAGTGGCAGGTACTTTGGAGTCTTTGGCAAGCTCCTATTGGTGAATTACAGTGCAGAACCTTTAGATTTTGGAGCAAAGTCCTGTCATTCTCTGCAGATAATGACTCCTCTTTTGAGAAACAGCTTTTGGCTTATTACTGGGCCTTAGCCACCAATTCACCACGTGGCCTGGGACACCGATTCTGAACTGGGTGGTAACCTGCAATCACCGAGCACAGCCGTGCCCCTTCAGGAAATGAAGTGGTAGGAATGAGACTGGGCTCCAGCAGGACCTGAGGGCGCATGTCTCCATTCCATAACACTGCCTAAGGCCTCTTGGGGAGCTCCTCGTGGTCGGCTGACTGGGGAAGAGAAAACTCATGCTTGGTTTCCAGATGGCTCTACCCGACATGCAGGCACCACTTAAACGTGGACAGCAGCAGCACTGTAGTCCCTTTCTGGGATGTCCCTAAAAGACAGTGGTAAGGGAACCCCTCCCGAAGGTCAGCAAGTTGAGCAGCGCACTTGGTTTTCCATTTCACACGGATGGAGAACTGGCCAGATGGGCTACTATATACTGATTCCTGGGCTGTGGCCATTGTCTGCCTGGATGGGCACGCACTCGGAAGGAACATGACTGAAAAACTGGTGACAATTTTTGGGGAAGAGGTCAATGGATAAAAAAAGTGAAGCTATTTGTGTCTCATGGAAATGTTCACCAAAGGGTGGTCTTGGCAGAGTTGGATGGTTAACAATCAAGTGGACAGGTAGAAATACCTTGCAGGTTTGAGTCAACGTTCTCTACGAGGTGATATATGCTCTGTGTTGTTAAGTGCCATTGAGTGGATTCCGACCCACAGCGACCCTGTGTAGGGTTTCCAAGGAGCAGCTGGTGAGCTTGAACCACTGACCTTGCAGTTCAAATGACTTTGCAGTCTGACGCATTAGCCCACGGCGCCACACCAGGACTCTATATGCTCTATACCAGCGTCCAAAATATGATGCCGTTTCTCCAATAGCCAGGATTCAAGGGGTCCAGGAACCAAGGGGTGGCACTATGTGCTGATGCGCTGGACTGCAAAGTCTGTTTGAACCACAAGGTCGCTGGTTTAAGCTCACCAGATGCTCCTTGGAAACCCTATACAGGGTCGCTATGGGTCGGAACCGACTCAATGGCACTTAACAAGAAGGTACCAAGGGGTGGATATGGGGCCATGCAGCTATGACGCCTGTTGACCTGCTTGCAGAATCTTTGTTTCCTGTCCCTGCCATCTTAACAGTCTTTGGGGCTGGCGGGGGTGGGGGTGTCTCTTAGTTTCAAAAGAAGGAATACTTCTATTTGTAGACACAACTCTGATGCTATAGAATCATAAGTTAAGAATGCCGCTTGGGAGCCTAGATCCAGAGGGCGCGGAGGAAGGTAGAATCTCCACTGAGTAGTATCCAATCTGTCTAGGCGGGGCTGATGAAAGGAAATGCGGATAGGTCTCTTGTTATATAATAGTGAATAATTGTTATCAGGACTGATTGTGAGGGTTGGAAATGTAAAGGTACACGTTTTATAACAAGGACATGAGTGATTAACTTTGCAGTCTAGGAGCGAAGGTCCCTGGGACCATCAATGGAGAAGAGTGGAGAGCGGGACCCTACCCAGAGAAGCAGAGATGCCAGAGATGGAGGCAGAGATGATGACGTGGAGAGATAGAGCAGTTGGGGACTTTAGATCCAGAGAGGGAGAGGGACTGTGTGCTGACTACCGGGGGTGGGGGGTGCGGGTGTGTGTTGGGGGGCAGGATCACAGGGTATACCCTTTGGTTGGTTGATGATGCATGGAGGGGATTGTAACTGTGGCAATGAAACGATATACGATAGAATGAATGTAAAATTAATGTTCTCCCATGTAAGCTATCACATAATTGACTATAAAACATTAAAAAAAAAAAAGAATAAGCCTTGGCCACTTTGGGCTCCTCATGCTTCTGGTTCAACATGCAAAGAAGGGATTTACTGTATTGGGCCGTGTGATTGATCCCGATTACCAAAGGGAAAGCAGATCAGCACACACAGAGATAAACAAGACTATATGTGGAATCAAGAGATCCCTTAGGGTGCCTTTTAGTACTACCATGCCCTGTGAGTAAAATCAATGGCAAACTACAGCAACTCAGGTCTGACGTGACTATTAATGGAGGCTTGTGTGCATCAAATAGTTTTGTTCATTCATAAAAGATGTAAATGGAGGTAGTGTGCTTTGGGTTGTGTTTGTATTAGTTGTGTTGTTGGGCACGCAAGCACGACTTCCCAAATGTCTTTTATTTAGAGGTTATGTATGGCTTAAGAGACCTGGTGTAGCGTTGTAGGATAAGCATTGGACTCCAAGGTAAGTTTGAACTACAAGGTCAGCAGTTCAAACTCACTTGTCACTCTTTGGAAACCCTATATAGGGCTGCTGTGAGTTGGCACTCAACATATCCAGGTGCCAAGTTGACAAGGGATGTGACAAGGTTGTGTCATAGGTCGTGTCAACTTGGCTGGCCCAGATCTCATTGGTTTGGCAGTTAAGATGTGGTAATGCAGGGGTGTGGTCTGCTCCCCATATATGCAGACACTGTGGAAAAGCTGGCTTGCTTTTGCTGGGTTTGGATGTATCATCTGACCTCCGTCCTTTGTACGAGCCACTGTCCTGCCATATTGTCTGCGGGTCCTGAAAGTGGTCAGCAAGCTGCCATCTTACCTGCTAACCACTGGGTCCTCAGCCCTTGCAACTACATGAACCAGGAAAAGCCCCCAATCTGGAATCTGACCATGGGCATGCAACGTGCCTTCCTGTACACCAGTGTGAGCCATTTCCTTGAAGGAAACCTCTCTCCCTATATACATACATAAGCTTTGTTGGTTTCACTTCTCTAGGAAACCTAACCTAAGACAGGACTTGAAACACTTCAAGAAAACACAGAACTAAAAGAAAATGGAATGTTCCCATGAGCTTTGTGAAGGCCCTCATAGGTGTTCACTGAGCATGTGACTCAACTTTGTTTTTCAGCAAATCCTTCCCACCAACCTGTCTTTGAAAAGATGTTTCCCAGTCTAATTCTGACTCTTTGCTTCAATATAAGGCATTTCTCAAAATAATGTGTCTGGCCAGACCGTGATTGTACAGTAGAACCTGTGAAAGCTGAAGCCTGCTGGAGAAGGAAGACACAGACATTTTCCACGAGCAGAGTGTTTGGAGCAGTGATCACACCGGGCCCAGTCAAAGTGGAAAACGTGCCAAACCTGGAAGAACAAGTCTGTCCCGTTGAGTTCAGCCCTCACGGCTGTCACTGTATAGTAATCCTAACTGAGAAATAATGCAGGTACATGGTTTGGCTCAATTTTGATGAGCATTTTAGGAAAAAAGTAGATATAAAAATTTATTTACATTCAGGATTTAAAAATCTTTGGAGTTTCAAGATTTCCTTCTTTAATGTATCAGGTGCTGATTTCAGGGAAAAGAGTTTAACTGAATCGTCTGAGATATTTCCTGTATTATACGAGGTGAAGAAAAAAAGTTACAGCCAGAGAAATTTATTTTAAAATAGAAACATACATACATTAAGCTTAAAAATAATCAAAAATTAAAACAAAAGAGAAAAAAGCTATTTGATCCCAGAGAGTTCATGTGGAATGAATTTATGTGGCATTCGGAGTTCTCGTAAGGAGCAGCTTTCGAAAAATAAAACCCAGTTTAAAATGGAGATCCAACACCCTCCTGGCCTCCGGTGCACGCTGGCCTGGAGTCCCTAGGCTTCGGGGCCTGCAGGCGGCGGGGGCAGTGTGTGCGGGCGGAGCTCACCCCTCCAAACTCACCAGCGGGTCACAGAACCTCATGGCAAAGGGCACCCGCCAACGCCAGTCAGTCACTTGAGCAGGCCGGACAGGCCCCTGTCTGGGTGGGGTGGGCTCATAAATGCAATCCGTTCTTTCCAAAGGCAACTGAAACGGGTGGTCAGGAGAGCTATGAGAAAAGGTCCAAGAAGTTTTGGCAACAAAGATGATGGTAATGTCCAGGAAATTCCACCAAAGGCTTTCAAAAACACTCAGTTGATAAGACGGTTTTCTGCTTGGAGAAAAATCAGAGTTGCACCCTCACAGCTGGTGGACAGTCCCACAGATGGTGGCCCTGGAGTCCCTCGGCTCCTAGTCTGGGTGAGGTTTCCGTATGGGCTTCTCTTCATAAGACTCTCCAAACTCATTGACTCTGCTCTTATCCACAGGATAAAGCCTGAGCAACACAGAGCAAAGACAGACATACAAACACGCTTGATTCCTTTCCTAGAATTTTTCTCGCTTACACAAGTCTGTACTGAAAAAGCGGAATTTCTGGAAGCTTTCCTGCCTGCAGGGGACAGCAGAGGTATTTTGGGGGCTGTCTCCCTCCCCCCATCCCCAATGGGGTTTGTAGCGAAAGGTCAGGTCCCACCTCTCAAGGACACGGAAGCAAGCGAACCCCAGCCTGTGGACAGCAGCGTAGGTCACTGGACCAAGCTGTGGAAAGCCGTTTGGGAAGCGATCCCAGCCTACAGGAGCTGCTCTGTGGGGGGAGTTTTACACACGTTGCAAACTCTGTAGCCCCCACCAAAGCTCTCCGTGCCCCACCCCCACCCAAGACTCCAAACGTGATGGCTTGTAGGACCTGCGCAATGCGAGGCAGTGGGTCTCGGAGCTTCAAGTCAGCTCCAGACTTGAAAATCAGGGCTGCTCTCTGAAACACAGTCCCCTCACCCTGGGAGGGATGCTGCTTCAAGGTGTAGAGGTCTGGGCCCCTCACACGAGAGCACCCCACAGATTGGGGACCCCAACAGCCTGGACCCCTCACACAGGGAGCAAGAGCCCCCCAAACTAGGAACCCCAAAGGCTTGGACCTCTCACATAGGAAGAGCACCCCCTCATTCTCCCCCAGTACATCAACACCAACAGTCCCCAGTGGAGGCACTAGAGAGCCAGCAACCAGAAAGAGCTGGAAATGGGGTTCTGGGAGCCTCACTGTGTCCTGCCTTCCCATGGGAATGAAGGGTGCCAGGGAAAGGACAGGTGTGGACAAAAGGCAGTGGCTACTGTGGTCACCAACAGAGAAGCAGGAAGTGGGGTCTCAGCAGCACCCACAGACCAGCTGGCTTCTTCAAGGAACAGCTCCCAGGGGTTGGAACGGATACAAGAGGAGATGTGAAGACTTGTCACTTCCAAAGTGGGGGCCTCATCCAGACCCCACTTCAAACGGGCTGACCTGATTCCTGAGTCTGGCCGTAATGTGCCAACACTGGGTAGCTGCTGACATGGAGGAAGCGCCACGGGTTTACTATGGTAACTGGTGACATGCTCCCGTGGCATTTACGGGCCTCTCAGACACCCGCTGAACGCAGGGCGCGGGGTAGGGGAAGGCTTTACCAAGTATCAGTTACTGTCAACACTGAAAACCTCTCCAAGGAGAAGCCACACGTGCCAGGTTAAGCAACACATCCAGACTGAACTGCACACCTGAACCGGAAACCTGATGCGAACAGCTGGGACATCCCGCCCTGTCACATGAGCAGCAACCCACAAAACCAACCCCTACAAACATTCCTTTTCCCCAAATGAAGAACTAAGGGCAGGCGTTTATGAAGACCGAGGGACCCGCCACAGCATGCACTGAAAACCCGGGTCAGAATGGGGGAGCACACAGCAGCCACTCACCATCTTTGGTAAAGATAAACAAGGAAGACCACGTCGTCCCGGAAGCACGCCAGTCGGTGTGAGGTGGGCATGGTGATGATGAAGGCAAAGACGTCGTCAATGAAGGTGTTGAAGGCCTGCAAAATCACAACACAGGTCCACTGAAGGCGATGGAAAATGCCCAAGGAAATGACCAGCGTCAAATTACAGCTGGGATTCACACGATGAGTAACTAAGCGTTCCTTACCGCACCATTACACAAAGCCAGGCCGGAGGAACCACGGGGAGAAATACTGGGTGTCCCCTGGGCTGTGTGTGAGCCAGCATACAGAGAATAGGCCTGAGCCACAGCTGCCAACCCTGGGGCCTCAGGGCAGCTACACCAAGCAGGAGGCCCAGGTTCTCCACGTACAGAGGGGAGCTACGGAGACCTGCTCTAGAAACTTGGAGTAACTGGACATGTTGTTTTACTTGACTTCTACCCCCTCTCCTCACTTAGCAACACGGTTAGACCAGGTCCTTATGTGAGTGTTACACAAAAATAGGAGGGCTACATCATTACCTAACTACCACATGGTATCATTACACAACTGACCAATCAGTGAGAACCAGGCCCAGCCAAGCTGGCACATTGCCTAAGCCATCCCAGCCAGCCTTACTCTGGCCCCACACACCTCGGGATGCCTTCTGGCCCAATGGATGTCATTAATGGCTAAAGAGCTATGTCAGTGAACGAGACAGTTGGTAAGTGAGGAGTAGGAGTATTTGTGTTCTATCTGTTTGTTCCTAAGAATGCTTTGGGTTGGTCTGAAGGCGCACTGTAAGTTGGGGAGTTGGGGAGGGGAGAACACGCTGGGAGTGGAACGAGTCTCACGGGCTGAAGGCCAGGAAGACCTGCAGGGGTGAACACTGGACCCTTCCTCTTTCTGTGTCTTTCATAAGAGTCACTTATGTAAATGTGGAAGCTTTAGAAAAAGCAGTGCTCGGGCGGTCCAAACAGCTACAACCCTCAAATCCACCCAGAGCTGCCGAAAAGACAGGCCTGGAAAACCCTATGACGCAGCAGCATTCCACTCGGACACACACGGGATTGCCATGGGTCACAACGTCTGCAAACACCGTACTCAGTCAGGCCAAGCAGTGCGCCTCCACTTACCTTGTAGGTAAACGCCTTCCACGGTAGGTGTGCCACCGACTTCATCTGTGAGACCGCGAGCGATTTGGGGAAAGATACAAGCACAGAGTCAGTCATCAGTCACCAGGAGAATGAGGGAGCAGATGCCAAACAGAGAGACGGTGACCTCACCTTGTAGTTGACAAAGAGCTGGGGTAGCATGAAGAGAAAGCCAAAGGCGTACACTCCTAGGGAGAACACAGACAGCACGCATGAGGACATGCCCAGGGCACACGTCCCGCACCATCCACCTTCTCTCTGGGGGGCAAGAACTAGCGAACACCCAGACACCTTCAAAGACAGACTGTGTATAACACAGCTTTCCCAGTTTAGCAACAGCCCAGACTGACTTCAGAGACATTCCAGAATGATCTAGTCAGCTCCTTGTGAATGAACTCAGAGACTCCTGAGCCCAGCTCAGGTCAGGCCGCGCTGTTCTGCGTCCTGGGTGTGTGTGCGGGAGGTCCTCCCAGTCTGGCAGGCACTTGTTTAGCTGCACTTGGTGGCTGTGTGTGGCCCACTGTTTTCCTGGTCACACAGCTCTTTGATGGAGGATGGGCAGGTGCTGTGTGCCCGCCTCACTGGGAGCTCAGAAAGCCCTGGCTTCTGGCCCACAGAAGCTGCCTGGGTGGCATCCCACCCTGGTGAATAACAAATCCCTCAGCTTTCTGCTGTCCTGCTCTGCTTGGCTATGGGATGTGGCACAGACCCATAGCTCTGGTAAGGCCACAGCCCAAAAAATCCTGAAGTTTCAATTAGACTGGCAGAGTTGGTGGGCCACACACAGCTGCCAAGTGTAGCCAAACCAGTAGCTTTCAGACCGAAAGGCCCCCCCAAGGACACAGAACAGCAGAATGAGCACTGGGCCAAGGAGTCACCTGAATTCCCTGCAGTGGACAGACTGGACCACTCTGGAGTGCCTGTGAGGTCTCCCGGCATACTCTAGGTTTGGCTTTGAAGCTTGCTCTATAGAAGCCAAAGGAGTCCCTGGGTGGTGTAGTAGACAGTTCAGTGCTTAATCACTAGCCAAAAGCTGGCGGTTCGAACCCACCCAGAGGCACCTTGAAGGACAGGCCACAGCCTGAAAAGTTCTACACTGCACGTGAGGTGGCCAAGAGTTGGAATCAATCCAATGGCCGCTAATAAAGAATCCTGTGTATAGACAGTGTTGTTTTAAGGCTTACACTGAAGTATTCTCATGAAGAAAACGTGACATGCTACTTGTTCAGGGCTGAAGTCTAGGAACCACGGGAGGGCAGGCATGGTGGTGCCAAGGCTGAGGGTCGCTGTGTGAGCAGCAGCCACCACACTGTGGTGTCGTCCCCACAGCAGACAAGCCTCACCTCCAATCAGGAGGGTCCTCCCTTTCCTACAGATAAAAACGGCACCTGTGGAGTCAGTGTCGCTATGGTAATGGAAAAGAGACATCGACTCACCATTGACGAAGCTGTTGATTAGCCAGGAGTACCAACTAAAATGGAAAAACCAAACAAGAAATATTAACCTTTCAAAAAGCCTCATTTCACATGTCACTCAATATTTGTTATATACCAAACAAAAATGATTCTTTCATGAAAACTCTTTTGTAAACATCCAAGAACTCTTATGCAACCAAGGAAGCTAACAGCCCCTAAACACGAGGCGTGGTCTGAAACCGCACATGCCAGGTACTGTGGTGACTTTGTGAGGGTGGGCCCCCCTAGAAGTGACCCTATAGAAAACCACGCTAGCAGGAAGGCCAGGCGGGGCCCCACGACAGCCTTTTACAAGCTCCTCAGCAGAGTCCAGGGAATCAGGTGGCCATCCAGGAAAGCAGGCCTCCTTCCCCAGTCAAGTGGCCCCTGTCAAGTTCACTGCCTCCCGGACCTAACCTGCACGCCCACCAACCCATCCCTGTCAAGTTCACTGCCTCCCTCCCTGAGCCCCTGGGACGGCCACTGTTATCCACCTCCTCTCTTTGAGGGTTTATCAGATCCCATCTAGTCCTGAGTTTTCCACAAGTGAGTCTTCAGCTCAGAGTTTGAAAACTGGCCCCTCTGGGCCCCCACCAATCTCCCCAACAGGCACAGCTTGCTTCAAACCCACATACGGAATGTCACCTGCCAGCGGTGAACACTGGACCTGTCCCGAGCGGCCCTGACCCCCTCTTACCTTTTATACTTGATGTTGAGGAGTGAGTACACGGCTCCGCCGATGCACAGAGGGTAGAGCAGGTAGGACAGGTATTTCATAGCCTATCAGGAAACACAGTTCATTTACAGTGAAGCAGCCACATGTCACAATTCTGTCTGTGTATTACAGGGAATGCAATGATCTCAGTGGAACACAAGTAAGAGAAGAAACCCAGGACTCATGAGCGTATAAACGACAGAAATATACAGAACCCCCAAGAATTCCGTATTCAGAAAGCCTTCTATGCTCATATTGCTGACTGTACTTATGCTGAAGTGAAGTCTGGAATGTAAACTGATGCTTATTTAGCTATCAAACTAACCCTTCCTTTGTAGAAAATGTTCTGTTAAATCTAAATCTAAATCCCAGCTATGCAAAACCTGCTTGGGAAAGCGAGAGCAGCCCCACAGAAGGGGGCGATGTGCAGCCTGGCTGCCCTGTGGTCTTGCCCGCAGAGGACACAAACACTTCCCGGTGCTAAAGGAGCATGGCACAGTGACCCACAAGGACTGGCAACAAGGAGTCTCTCCTCCTCCCGCTCTCCCTCTAGCCTGTGAAAGCTCTTTGGAGCACAGTTGTATTCTAACACACCTTGAGTTGGAATCAACTCACTGTAACTGGTTGTCTGCCACCATCTTCAGGATGGCCCGTTCTAGGCTATTAGAGTCGCTCACTGCACCCCAACCAACCCGCTTACCTGAGTATCATATTCCTCAGTTCTCCTTTCCGATTCACTGTATGTGCCAAACTGTTTCAAAATTCAAACAGATCATTTTAATACCACAACTTAGGGCAGTGGAGTCCTGGTGTGGCGCTGTGGGCTAATGCATCAGACTTCAAAGTCATTTGAACTGCAAGGTTGGTGGTTCAAGCTCACCAGCTGCTTCTTGGAAACCCTATACAGGGTCGCTATGGTGGCACTTACCAACAACAACAACAACTTAGGGCAGGAGGAGCACTGCCCAGTTACGTGAGACAGACCTGTGAGAAGCGATGGGCTGCCCCCTTGCTCGGACACTGAGACTGCCTACCAGCTGTGCTGTAGCCTCGCCAGGGCACTCTTCCTCCCAGCCTCCACCCCAGGAGTTGACAATGCAGGTCCCTTCTTGGAGCCGCACAGGACTCACAGGCAGAGCGGACTCCCGAGGAAGCACACGGTCATCTAGCCTTCACTCTTCAGGCCCCTGGGTTCCCACCAGGGCACAAGCAGCACTGTGTGTGGGCAGACCTGAGCTGCCTGAGTTATGAACTATGACGATGACTAGAACCGAGTCCCAGTGTGGCACTATTGGGCTGCTAACCTCAAGATTAGTACACTGCCACCACCACTAATGCAGACTAGACTGTGTTGTGGTCCCCGAACTTTCTGTCCTTGGACACTGGAGCACCCTGGAATTCTAAGGCCTACTTCCATGGAAGCACCACAGAAAGTGACATGTTTCCTGACTAATTTCAAACCCTGGTGTTTCCTTTTCAGCCTTAGGAATCCCATCAGGACTCTGTCATTAGGAGCAATTACAGCCTTAAAGAAAGTGCCCGTGGCTTCTGAAACTACGCCTGCACTCTATTCCTCAACAGTGTGGGGACAAGTGAGGGCCTGGGGCAGAACATGGCCCAGCCTGCAGCCGGTGCTGTTAGAAACAGGTGGTGTGACTGGTGTCTTTGGTAACCAGAGAAAGTGACCATGATCAGATAGCCGATATGCGCCGAGAGCAGAGCTCTGTCAGCCGACGAGCACAAGAGTGAGCCCCTGGCCTGGTTAGACTCTGCTCCCACTCTCCTTGGACGCTTTTGGCGTCTTCATCCACTCATGCGCCGACAGGAAACAGCTCTGCACACCAGGAGGTAAATGGGTCCGATTACTAACAACCCGGCCTCTAGTGAGCTTCGTGTCTACTGTGGTTCAGTTCCCTCGGATCCACTTCAACTCACAGGGACCCCACTTAGGACTTCTAAAGCGCTCAATCTTTGTGGGCACCGAAAGCCTCACCTTTCTCCCACAGAGCGGCTGGTGGGCGCGAACTGCCAACCTTGTGCTCACAGTCTAAGGCTTACCCAACAGCATCTAAAGGACTGTAAACATGACATATACTAGAAAACATTTTAGCACCTATGAAGAGAGTGGCAAGTAAACGGAGGTCAAAAGACAGATGCAGAGGAGGTCACAGGATTTCTCAAGAGGACGTGGGTTAGTCACATTCTCCCCAGAGGGCGTGAGTTAGTCACAGACTCTCCCCGGAGGACGTGGCTTAGTCACACTCTCCCCGGAGGACATGGGTCAGTCACAGACTCTCCCCGGAGGGCGTGGGTAAGTCACAGACTCTCCCCGGAGGACGTGGGTTAGTCACAGACTCTCCCCGGAGGGCGTGGGTAAGTCACAGACTCTCCCCGGAGGGCGTGGGTCAGTCACAGACTCTCCCCGGAGGGCGTGGGTAAGTCACAGACTCTCCCCGGAGGGCGTG